CATCTTTTTATCCTGCCTTTTAGTGACCTAGACAAGGAACTTTTAAATACAAACACATACAAACATTGCTGAAACTTTGGGCCGGAGATGGATTCTTAAGCTCTGTGTAGCCTGATCAGGCACTGATTCAGAAGGATCAAGTTCTTCAAAAGTTTCATTGCTAAAATGTGAACTGAAAATTCTTTAATTCGTGCCCTAAGGCCTTTAACTTGATTCCTGGTAGATGGAATTTATTAATGATTCATGGTTAATGCCTCTCCTCTGTGGAACTGAAAGCATTTTACAAACATGTAGGGTCACAACACCATGTTTCACAGAGCAATTTAGTTATTTATCTATGGTCCTGCAAGAAGCATTGGCAGAGCCCCATGTAGAACCCAGTAATTCTAATTCTCAGATTTGGAGTTTAACCATTAAATTTTTTTTCCTACTCATACAGTTAATTGGACTCCTCTCTCCCCCAGTCCTTACTAGTTAAGGTCCTTGAATGAAACAGATCAGTGCAAACTCTTCAGAAAACTGAACTTCAGAGCCCCAAGACACAAATGAAGGATTCTTATTATCAGGCCTGTAAACAGGCATGAGTCCCACACCACTGGAACTTGGCACAGGCATATACTCAGTGGGTTATGATCCAAATTTAATCCCTTCTTGGAAGTTTGCCTTTATCATACCTTTGGTACAAAGCATTGAGGCAGGACTGCACTTGTAAATGTGAACTTTAGCTTGAGCACACTGTTAGTAGGGTTTCTCCTTGCAAGTCCTCCTGTCCTGTCTCTAGCTTTTTCTCATTACATAGGTGCTCTCTAACCTCTGTGCATTGGAGCTGGTATGGCCCATCTCATCAACCTGCTGGAGTGAGTCAGCAGAATAGTTCTGCATCTTCCCACAAACTCCTAATACCTGCCATCCAGTCCCATCACTATTGAAATTTGGCCTTCACCATCCGTTAATGTAGTTCTTCATTAAATTGTGCCTTCATATGCTGATTGAATGAAATCACTTCCTGTGCTTCAGGGGTTCATTCAAGAAAGACCTGCAACTTATTTATAAAACTCTAGCATTAGTAAGTAATCTTTTCAGAGGTTATCTTTTTAATGGTTTTTACCGTTGTATTGTATTAAATCAAATTAACTAATAAAGATTTTATGATGTTTCCATTTTATCTGTGACAAGGGTTAAAGATAAACCTTTGCTCAGATTGTGTGATTGTTCTGTTGAAAGCACGGTGTTTTTATAAGAAGCAGATGCCTACTATCTATGTGCTGTTTTCTGGGTTGGTTATGATTTTATGACAGGAAATTCTTGTATGCTTGTGCTAGTGGGATATATCATGTGATTTTATGGTTGTACTATAGAAAGCCTTTCATGTGTATAATTTTATGAAGGTATGACAAGAGAATTTTCTTATAACTTTCATACTGGCCTAATTTCTTATAAAGGGAATGTTGATGTTTTGGAGGCCTTTGTATTTTTACCTAAGAATAAATCCAGCATGTTCATTTCACAATTAAATAGCCACCTGAGCATTGAGTGATATTTAGGAAAACTTATAAACAACTTTATATAAAGGCACTGTTATTATATGATTGATGTAGTAAAATTTGGTGTAAAAATGTTTCCTGGCTGATGATTGTAGTGTATTTTATGGGGACTCTTTTCAAGGCTTCCCGGGCTCAGAATGTGACCTTTTCTTCTTCTTTCTTCTATGTGTTTTTGTTTTAATTAAATGTTTCATTCCCTCTCTCTCTACCCCTCCTCAAATATTTAGAATCGCAGAAAAATAGGGATAGAAGGGACCTGAAGAGCTCAACAAGTCCAGCCCTCTGCACTAAGGCAGGACCTGATAAACCTAGGCCATCACTGGCTGGTGTTTGTCTAACCTGTTCTTAGAAACCTCTACGTCATCCTAGATCCCCTTCCCCTACTGCAACTTGAGACCATTGCTCCTCGTTTTGCCATCAGTCACCACTGAGAACATCCTCTCTCCATCCTCTTTGGAACACTCCTTCAGGTAGTTGAAGGCTGCTATCAAATCCCCCCTCACTCTTCTCTCTGCAGACTATATAAACCCAAATACCTCAGCCTCTTCCCAAAAGTCTCATGCTCCAGCTCCCTTATCATTTTTGTTGCGCTCTTCTGGACTCTTTCCAATGCGTCCACATTCTTTCTGTAATGGGGGACCCAGAATTGGATGCAGTATTCCAGATATGGCCTCATTAGTACTGAACAAAGGGGAATAATCACTTTCCTAAATCAGCTGGCAGTGCTCCTACTAATGTACCCCACTATGCTTAGCCTTCTTGTCTACAAGGATGCACTGTTGACTCATATCCAGCTTTTCAACCACTGTAATCCCCAGGTCCTTATTTGCTGAACTGCTGCTTAGCCAGTTGATTCTCAGCCTGTAGCAGGGCTTGGGATTCTTGTGACCCAAGTGCAGGATTCTGCATGTGTCCTTGTTGAACCAGATCAGACTTCATTTGGCCCAGTCCCCCAATTTGTCTAGGTCGCTCTGGACCCTCTCCTCCAGCGTATCTTTCTCTCCCCCTACCTTAGCATTATTGTAAAGCACTTCACATTTGAACTTCAATTTGAATTTGAGGTACATTTCAAGGTGATTTATAGCATCCTGTGGACTTTGCTTCTTTTCTCTTTTTCTGCCTCTTTTCCTCTACTGTGGTCATTGATGCAGATAGTCTGAAAGATAGTCCTACATTTGAATATCAGCACATTCTGAAATAATGGAGAATCCATAACTTGATAATTCTCTTGCTTTGTTGGTCCAGCAACCTAAAACTTTAAATCCTCAAAACTCATTTGTTCAAGTGTTTGTTTTGAATGTAGGGAGTAAGCTATATTTATATCATTGTTAAGTAGAGGGTGAGTTTTGGCTAGCTTTTGTCTACAGTGCGCAAAGTTGGGTTTGTACATGCACCCACATAGTTTGGGATAAGCACATGATTAAATATGGAGAAAGAACAATTATTTTATTTATTTTAGGGAGCTTTTACCTTTCTCAGAGTTTTTTTCCCTCCTTTTTAATGAGATGGATTGTTAAAATATGTTAATCTGACACATGGGGAAGGGTGAGGAAATGCATTGAGATGTTGAATAATTAGATCATCTCCTATGCACGAATAAATCCAAGTATTAGACAGGAACAAGAATGTTCTCTCCCCAATTCTAACCTTCTCCCCTCTCACGGATGCATAGGATTTGCGTCCTTTCTGTAAGCAGACGTCTGATCTTAAGTATTAAAGTTTGTAAATTGCTTTGAAGATTCTAAGTGATGCATATCAGTCTTGCCTTTTAATTTCCTATCTCTTATTTAGAGGTTGAAATCTTAAATTAGGGTGTTTGAATATATAGGGCTACATCTCACTGTTAAAAATAAATAAAAAACTTCCGCTGTTACTGGACGAAATCCTTAAATCCCTGAATTGTTAATCAGTCCTTTATGCCCAAAGATAGTTTGAATTTGGTCTTGAGTTAAGGACCTGATAACTTGTCCCACAGATATCCAACATCTTTTTCATTTTCAATTTAAAACACACATTGTGTTCTGTATTTCTTAAAAGGTACATTGCTAGTTACAGCAGTTGAGCTATGGTTTGCTGTATTAGAGATGTATTTATGGGTCTAAAATGCCATTTTTGTAGAATACTGAAAGTAACTGTTTAATAGTTGGAAAGCTTATTAAGGACTGATCCTGAAACCTTTACTTACATAAGTAATCCTACTCACTATATTGGGCTTACTGGCAGCATACATATCTCTTTATTGTCTCTTACTTTAACCAGTTCCTTCAAAGAGTTAACTTTCTAAGCAACCGCAGATTAGTTCTTTTAGTTGTTTTAATTATTTTTCTCGTCACGCACAGTGAAGGTCTAGTGTTTGTGATTTTTTTTTGTCCTCCCTTCTCTGCTGTTTCAAATATGCTGGCATTGAAAGCTAAAGTAAAATGCTGTCTATTTGCCATATTATCTTAGCAGATCTTCACCTGTTTCACAGTTTAATAGTATAGTTTCTTTTATTGCTTTTCTTTAGGATAGTTTGGGCATATCAGTATTTTACATTTCTAAAATGCATTCATAGCACTCTTAAGCAACTACTCACTACCAGAGTGCTTTCATGTACTTGCTACTGACTAATTTCCTTCTCTATAGCTGACAGGTGACTCAGAGTAAAAGCTGGCAGATGGATATACATTAGAACGTGTCCAGAGCTTTCTGAGATGAGTTTTGGAATTTTCATGAAAGTGGGAATTAGGTTCAGGATATACCAGTGGCACACAGCACTCCGTGGGAGTGTAAAATAAGAGGAAACAGTTCACAACGAGTCATCTTTTGGTTGGATGATTCAGGGGTCTGCTGTTGGTGATCAAAAAGGCACGTGGCTGACTACAGTCTTTGTACGCTATTCAGAATGCAATCTGTCTCTAAAAATTAATTCCACCATTCTGATTCTTGTCCAGTGAATCATTTCCAGAAATGAATAGCTGCAGTTGCTGGAATAGATATTGTGATAGTCCCTTCATTTACAACAGACGGGTTTTGAAACGATGACTTATTGTGCAAATTTTTTCAGGATTAGAATTAAAACTGCTTTAAAATAAATGTATGTCTTTGTGTATTTTAATAAAAGCAAAAGTTAAAAGCCTCTCAGTTTCCAAACGATGTAGGACTATCTGAAAGAGCTAATTCTTGGAATCATAGCTCCGTTGGCACTAGCTGGTGATTTCCTGTGCATTTCCTGCAAGAAATGTTCTGTGATGTGAGTAGGTGGTAGTTAAGAGGTTGTTACGAAACCAGTTTTCAACCAGACGTCTTGAGTCGTAGATTGGGAAAAGGGATACAGCTTTGAGTGTTGTCTCTTTGTTTGAGCAGGATAGTTGTAATGCACATGCTGCATATGCTGTGTTTGTGTGGAGCAAGAAATATTTGGAATATATCTAATATTCCATTATGTATTTTTCTTTGTGTCACTCCACTTTGTAGTTGAAACATGAGACTGTGGACTAAGACAACTGGAAGTAGTGAGCATGCTGAAGGAGGAATTTCCTGAATGTATCTTTAACTGTAAGTAGACATGAGAGGCAAAATGGAGTTTCATCGATGACTAATGTCTATACCAAAACCAGGGGATTATTTGAAGCAAATTGGTTCTGTTCAGAAAGAAAGATGGGCTACCAGTAGCAAGAGATAGTAGGCTTTTCCACCAGAAAATGGGCATTTCAGGGAATTGCTCTGGCTGCCAAACCCTAGGAATTTTTGACCTACTGACTCAGATATGGAGAACTAGGAAAACAGTCTTATTGTGGTTTCCTTTGTTGATGACAGATTCAAACGACACATGTGATTATGTGAATGTGGCTAATAGAAGAGAGGTGGCTCTACTGCATGTTGCATTCTGGATTTGTTTTGTGCCTGAGAGGAGTTGAATTCCTGAGCACTGGAGATCTCAACATATTTGTGCTGGCTCTGCTCGTGACAGTATAGTGGTAAGTTTAATTAATTCTCATTTTTGTTGAGTCACTGATCCCCTTTTTACTAACTGTCAGTAGCACACATATTGTTGACCTTTATTCTGAACTGGAATGTTTTGAAAACCAAATGAACATTTTTCAGTGCTTGAGATCAACTTTAACAGGGAAGACCGATTGGAGTCCCAGAATTTAAGGGTATTTGATCTGGAGCCAAACTTTAAGGCTCAGGCCCATCTCCGATAAAAATAAAAAGAACCATATAATCACTGTTTAGACTGTTGTTTAGTTTTGATTAAACTGTTTTTAGTGGTCATGGTAACTAGCAGAAGGGATGGCTGAGTATTCCATCCAACAGGCTTGGAATAGATTTTTCTCATAAAGAAGCCATCATTTCTCTTTCCAGTGAATTACAGAGAAATTGCTGAAGAGGATGCTTTTGAATTAAATATAAAAAACTAATACTAAATATGGACATCAAAATCAAATTATATTTTTTCGTAATAGTAGTGTATACCCCTGCACTGTTAAGTATTTCTGTAAGTTCCAACAGAGACTTAGCAATTAACGGTTTATTATGAAAGCATGAATAGTGTTGTCTAACAAAGGGACAGTAGTGTCTAATAGATAGATTAGAGGATGAGACGCAAATTTTCTGAGTTCTATTACTGACTCTGCCGCTGTTTGTGTTAGTGCTGTTGGACAGGTTATTGACTCTTAGTTACCCATTACTAAAATGGGAATGGTGATGCTACTCACCTTTATTAATGTGCTTTGATAGCTATCAGTTGTACGTATTATATTTTCCTTCTTCATATAAAGTTGATTTTCTGTTATCCAAAGCACTTGTAGCATTTTAATTACTGAAAACTGTTTACAAATATAAATGAATAAGTAGTACATTTCAGAGTGATAGGTCTAAGCATGGAAGTGATATTTAGCTAATCTATCTCATTACCACTTGCAATGCTGTCGATGTGTTGGCTCTGGGATATTAGAGAGTCAGGATGGGTGATGTAATAACTTTTATTAAACCAGACTTTTTTGGTGAAAGTGATAAGCATTCAGGTTTTCAGAGATTTGGGAAAGGTATTGTGAGACTCACAGCTAAGTAAAAGTCAAAACATTTTTAGCATAAGGAGTTAACGTATGTTGCAAGACACCATTTAAGGCAGGGGCTACTCAACACACGGCCCGTAGGCCACATGTGGCCCGCCACCCATATGTGGCCTGCAGTACAGTTTCGGTTTACACAGGGCTCAAGATATGGCCGGTCGGTGGGAGACAAAACAAAAAAGTAGTCACCATAATGGTCTTCTGTTGATATGCGTTTTAGTAGTTAAATTCTTGGACTGTCATTGCTCATTAAAAGTGCTGTCATATGGGTGGAAATTGGGTAAATATTGCATTTTATTTATATCAACGGAACTGATTTAAATGGGGCCTGCGCATTGTGTAGTCTTGCCTTAATCTTTGTACTCATGCCCGTCAGTGTGAAAGAAGCTGTTTGCATATAGTTGCATATGTATATGCAACCACACTTAAGTTGCAGCCTTTGGCATGTGCTGTGAGTATCAAGTTGAGTAGCTCTGATTTAAGGTGAAGTGGGCACTTAACATCTCTGCAGTCCTAGGACAAAGGAGAGTTAATGGGTTACACTTGATTACCTTTCCCAGACCTGAAGAAGAACTCTGTGTAAACTAGAATGCGTGTCTCTATTATCAACAGAAGTTGGTCCAATAAAAAGTTTTTTTTCTCTTGGTATTTTTTCTCTTTCCATGCAAAAGAAGTCACTGCTGATGATGTTGCTTAGTGATCCCAGAGAAGACTTGGGATTCACTATGTATAATTTTTCTTCTTCTGCATATATGACATAAGGAAGGTTCATGTTTCCAAATGCAATTGATGGCAGAGTTGAAATAAGGCTGCTCTCTTTTCTTTACTGAAATGGCATCAAAGAATACTGTTTAGTAAAGGTCTCTACAGCACTATGAAGTAAAGGATGGAAGTAAAAATGCTAAAGTGTAGTATGTATCCCATGTCTCCTTTTATGTGATGCTTCCTTCACATCTTAGTATAAGAATTTAAACTATCCACTAACTTGCTAGTGAGTGATTCCACCAGAAGGAGTAGGCATTAAGGTCAGAAAAGTCATTTGCTGTGGTTGCTATGTGGGTTTGAAAAGCCTAAGAAGAGGAAAGGGTGGGGAAATGTTACTTAAATTAGACAAATAAAAATGTATGTGAATAAGACTTTCTGAATTTTTGATTTTGCCTCTTGGCCAAACCAGTCAGGATCATCTGTCAGAGGCTCCAAGATCTACCAGTAGATCCGGATCTACTGGTTGGTGACCACTGCTGTAGGGGCTTATCTCAGTATCAAGCCTTAAATGAATAAAATTATTAGTGTTAGTTAGTGAATAAGACTTTCTGAATTTTTGATTTTGCCAAATATCCTATTGAATGAATCATGTATTTCTAAAATCACAGTTAATTGTAAAATTATTAGAATGTTCTCCCTGGTTGCTGTACTTTTAAAAACACTGATTCCTTATCACTCTAGATTGAGAGAGAGGAAGTTGTGAATTTTTATAGTCCCTAAATTCTTAACTGTTAAAGATCATTTGGAATGGAGGATCAAATTTCCTTAGGCTTACACCAGAACAGACTCAGAAATTTTAAGCAGTCAACATGTAAAGAAAAAAATCTGCAGTTAATTGTCGTTTATCCACCTGCACTGCACAGTTGGATACAGAGTTTTATTGCTTCTTCTTAAAATCACCTGTTCTTGAGACAAGGTGGTATTGTCTGTATAGGGAATATTGCATGTGGCTGTACCGAAAATAACTTAAGCGAAAATGTATTTTTTTATTTCAGTTTTGAGTGTGTGTTTGTAATATCTCCACTGTATTCTGCCTTTTACAGTGTGAACAGTAGTAATGTGAGAGGGAGATAAATCACCACCAGATGACTTTTTTTCCTTGCTTCTTATGATTGTCCTTCTAAAATACAATAGCACATGGAGTTAGCTTAGACTATCTTGCAGTGTCTTTGGAGTGAAAAACTGCCTTTTTGCATGCAATATTGGTATATGAAAGGATAAAAGATTTCTTACTTCAAATGTTGCAGCATAAAGTATAGGACTGAACACGTCAGAAATTGGGGTGTGTCTAGACTACAGGGTTTTGTCAACAAAAGTGGACTTTTGTCGACAAAACTATACCTGCCTCTATACTACCGCCGCGTTCTGTCGACAGTAAGTCGACAGAACGCGGCAGTTTTGTTGACGGTGGTAAACTTCATTCTATGAGGAATAACGCCTTTTGTCGACAGAGTTATGTCAAAAAAAGGCACTATTGCATCCACACTGCTTTTGAAAAAGAGAGCGTCTAGACTCTGTTGAAAAGACAGCTTGCTTTGTCGACAGAACTGGCAGTAGTCTAGATGCTCTTTTTCGACAGATGCTTTGTCGACAGTATCTGTCGACAAAGCCTCTGTCGACAAAAGCCTGTAGTCTAGATGTACCCTTGGATACAGAGAAAATATGGATATGGTTTGAAATTAGATAAACAAGTCAGTAACATGATGCCTTTTATTGACCTAGCATAGTGCTTCAGCTTTCTGATCCATACAGCTATCTTCTTCCATTGATCAAGGGTCATTTGAAGGAAGAACCTGTCTAACTTAAATTTGTCTACTGCAACCATATATCCTTCCCTGATTGCACTGGCCAAAGGGGAAAATTCTCATTAACTTCAATTAGAGAAGAATCAGACCTCGCTGTGCTGTTCTAATAAAAAGCATGCCACATCTTTTGTGTTTTGTTCATTTAAGGCTTGATACTGAGAACTGCTGAGCAGTCACAGCCCCTAAAGCAGTGATTACCAACTAGTAGATCTTGGAGCCTCTGACAGGTGATCCTGACTGTTTTGGCCAAGAGGCTATCAAGTTCCAGCACTTCAACTGCCCCTCCCCACACTGCTGTGCACCTCCTGTCCTTTGCCTTGGAACTGCCCCTCCCCTCCTCCTGGGAGCCTCCAGCTTGCTGTGCAGAGCAGGAAAGGGAGAGGAGTGGGCGCTGATATCAGGGTGCCTGCTCTTCCACCCTGTGTTCTCTCTCCATCTCCACAGAACAGAGGCAGGGGACGCAACTGGGCTTGGGATGGAGGGAGTTTGCTGTCTGCCTTTGGGAGTGGTGCAGGGCCAGGGCAGGGATGAGTCTGCCTTAGCCTCACTGCCCCACCACCCAGGAGCCACCTGAGGTAAGCAATGTCCAGCTGGAGCCAGTTCCGAACCCCTGCCCAAGCTCTGAGCCCCCCGAACCCAAACTCCCTCACAAAGCCTGCACCCTGAACTCCCTCATACATCCCAACTCCCTGCCCCAGGCTCAGCTCAGAGCCCCTCTCACATTCCAAATCCCTCAGCCCAAGACCAGAGCTTGTGTCCCAACCCTCTGCCCCTGCCTGATGAAAGGGAGGGAGGATGGGGAAGGGAGGGAGGACAATGTGAGCAGGGGGCAGGACCTCAGAGAAGGGACACAAAGGAGGTGAGGCACGGGTATTTGGCTGTAGGGTAGATCTTATATTGTACTTAAATTCAAAACGTGATCTTGTGCTTAAAAAGGTTGGAGACCACTGCCCTACAGTCAAGTCAAACTAGCATTCAAACCTCTCAGTATCAGCCCCCAAAACACAGATTCTTAACCACTGATACTCCAGGCTCCATTCTTGTAACTTAAAATTCAAGTATAGAAATGGCTTCATACAGTGTTATGAAGGTTTGTCTCTCCAGATAATATCTGCTTAATTTACAATTTAAAAGAGTTTAATTTGGGGTTTTTTGTTTGTTTTGTTTTGTTTTGTTTTGTTTTGTTTTGTTTTGGAATCTGATATTCAATCTAGGCTCTTTCTGGCCCATCCATAATCAGCAATAAAGACTCTGAAGTTGGAATTTATGGGCAGAAATGGTAACTTACATATGATCTGGAACATAGGACAGCCCATTTTCTTGTAGCTGTGT